TTTTTTTTTTTTTTTTTCAAGTAAACTCAACCCCCAGCATGGGGCTCGGACTCATGAGATCAAGAGTCTCATGCCCTACTGACTGAGCCAGCCAGGAGCCCCAAGCCGGTATAGTTTGATTCACAGAACCCTTCCCTCTTGTCAATAGCATCACTGCTGTGTCTTAGTGACTGTGTCATTTGTAAATTGTAATGAACGCTCTCCAGGTTCGAGAGCGTCCAGCCTACGACAGCTTACGCCTCACCAGAAGAAGTGATGCAGAAGGAAGGCTGGAGGGGCTGCAAGGCTCACTCTGCTCATTTATTTCACTCACTCCCACCCACCTTCCTGGCCTCACGCACCTGCTCTCCTGGCTTTAAGCACCTCCTATAAGAAACCAAGTAACAGACCTACTTTCTGGGCTCCAGACCTGCACTGAGCAAAAGAGTAATTAAGGTAATTAAGTTTAAATTAATTTGATTACTTAAAACTAACCAATACTAACAATTCAGTTCCTCGGTTGCACTAGCCACATTTCAAGTGCTTCATAGCCAGGGGTGGTTAATAGCTACTCTTCTGGACAGCACGGATGTAGAATATTTCCTTCATCACAATGTTCCGTGGGAAGGTGCTGGCTCTAGACCCCCTGGAGTTCTCCCCTCCCCACTTTCTGCCATTGCTCTCTGTTGGGCCTGGAGGGACCAGCTGTCCCAGGAATCTACCCCAGGCCCTTGTCACTACCCCTTCCAGCCAGGCACGTTTGCTTCCCCTTCATCACTACTAGCACTGCTGAAGGCCAGCACTACTGGCTTCATCCTTGGCCCTGGCCCTCGGCCTCCAGTCCTTCCCCATCTCAGCATCATCCCTCCCACCCCCACCAACAACCTTCCTCCACGATAATGTGTTCACGGACCAGCTTCAGTGTGGAGTCCAAATTCACATCTTGGCACATCCATGCTGGGGCCGGCCACTTTAACTCTTACAGCTTCTCCCCCATGTTCTGTCCTTCCTAGCCTCAGGGTCTTTGCACATGCTGTCCTCACTGCCCTTCTCCACCTACATGTCAGAGGATATAACCTCTTCCAGGAAGCCTTCCCTCAACCCCTCACCCCCTCAGTGCTCTCTGAACAGCTTGAGCACTCAGTGGTCCCAACCCTGAGTTGGCATGAAGGTTTCTTTGTCTCCTTTGGCAGGTGCACCACAAGCTTGAGGGTAGGGGTTATCCTCATCTCCCCATGTGCCTAACAAAGTGCTTGGCACATAGTAGGTGTTCAACACTGCTGCTGACCGTGGCACCTGGAGAGAAGAGTGTGGTGAGGGACCAGCCCACCTAGCAGTGTCCCAGGAGAACATTTACCGAGGTGGTACTGACTGAGCCCCTTGCCTTGTGCCCCACAAGTGCTGGGAAGGACCCAGAAGTACAGGACACCCTTCCTGCCCTCAGGGAGCTCACGAGAGACCTGCTAGACTCAGCAAATCTGGGACAAGAGCGAGTGTGAGTCCTCAGTGGCATCCCATTTGCCTTGTGGCCACGCTACCTGCCCCCACCAGGGACTCCTGCTCCAGCCTTTCCCCTCGTCCATGTCACATATTCCCTGTTCTGAATCCCCTTCCCCAGAGCCATATTTTGGATTGTACACTCATTTGGACTGGCACTGAAAACGGGACCTGTGG